GACAGCAACTTGCCTGTTCCCCTTTCCCCAATTTCCCAGCGTTGTTCCCATCCCCCAATTCCCCAATAAAAATCTTTAAAAATATATATATATTCACGGGCCGGCCGAGTGGCTCATTGGTTAAGAGTTGGCTTGGGAGTGCAAGCTTTGAGCAGCAGGGCCGCTGGTTCGGATCCCACATGGGCCAATGACACTGCACCCTCTACAGCTAAGATGGTGAACAACAGCTTCACCTGGAGCTGGGCTGCCAAGAATTGCCAGCGACAGTGTGCTCTCATAAGCTACCATGAGTGGCTATCCAATGGCCGGCGACCAATCTGCCTCAGCCGGGAAGAGCACAATGATCACAATACTAACATGGGCCAGTGAAGCGATGTCCTCCACAACTAGACTGAAGAACAAAAAGGACAGCAACTTGCCTGTTCCCCTTTCCCAATTCCCCAACACTGTTCCCATCCCCCAATTCCCCAATAAAAAGTCTTTAAAAAACATATATTCACAACAGATTTATTCATAATAGCCAAAAGACCTGTTAACAGTGAGATGCCCATCAATAAAAGAATGGATAAACAATGGTGTTTTTATACAGTGGATATTATTTAGCAAGAAAGATCCAACATCCCGTGTTGATGAATCTCAAAAGTATGCTAATAAAAGACATTGGACACACAAAAAAGTGCATAATAAGTGATCCCAACTCGATGAAATTCTAGTGCAGGCAACACTAACATATGGTGATAGAAAGCATATCAGTGAATGCTTTGTGGGAGGAAAGAGTTGACTGGGAAGCAGCTTGAAAGGACTTTCTAGAGTATTAGAAATTTTGTCTTTAAGTCATAGTCAAAACTGAATGTTACACTTAAGATCTGAGCATTTCTTTAAGTGAAGGTTAAATAAAGATTTTAGACCACCAAAAACTGAAAGAGGTTACCAACAGACTTGCACTAAAAATCACTAAGGGGCCTTTTCACAAAGATGGCGCCAAAAGCAAAGAAGGAAGCTCCTCCCTTCCCAAAGCCGAAGCCAAAGCAGAGTCTTTGAAGGCAAAGAAAGCAGAGCTGAAAGGCCTCCACAGCCATAGAAAAAAAAGACCCACACACATCAATCACCTTTGGAAGGTCTAAGACACTGTGGCTCTGAAGGTAGCCCACATATCCTCGGAAGAGCGCCCCCTGGAGAGAGAAGCTTGACCATTGTGCCATCAGAGTCCCCCTAACTACGGAGTCAGCCATGTAGAAGATAGACGACAGCATACACTTGTGTTCATTGTGGGTGGATGTCGAGGCCAGCAAGCACCAGATTAAACAGGCCGTGAAGAAGCTCTATGACATTGACGTGGTCAAGGTCAACACCCTGATCAGGCCTGATAGAAGAAGGCATATGTTCTGACTAGCTCCTGACTGTTATGCTTTGGAAATTGCCAACAAAATTAGGATCATCTAAACTGAGGCAGCTGGCTAATTCTAAATATAATTTTTTTCACTGTAAAAAAAAAAAAATAAAACACTGAAGGAATTTCTTTTAGGCAGAAGGAAACCTATCCCAGATAGAAACTCAGAAATACAGGACAGAGTGAAGAGCGACAGAAAGGGTAAATATTAGAGTAAATATAAAAGAGTATGACTATACAAAGTAATAAGAGTAGTGTCTTCTGAGGTTAAATTTATGACAACAGTCATACAAAAGGCAGGAAGGAGTTGCATTGATCTCTGTAGATGGTCTTAGGTCCAGTTAGGTATTTCACCCTCACTTGGCACTGACTACCCTCAGAAAGATAGTGGGTAGGAAACCACAACAGTATCAGGCGCGAACCTCCCTAAGACAAGTGTAACCTTGAAAACAAAACTAGACAAAGACATGAGAAAGAAAAACTATAGGTTCATCTCACTCATGAATTTAAGTATCAAAACCATAAGCAAAGTATTAACAGAAGGAATCCAACAGCATTTTTTTTTTTAAAGATGCATCTTGACCAAGTTGGGTTTATCCCAGAAATACAAAAATGGGTTAACTTTGGGAAAACCCTTAAATTTCATTCACCAAATCAAAAAAGAAAAATTATAAAATCATTAAATCATTTCAGTAGTTTGCATTTGACAAAATTCAATACAATATAAAGCTAATGCAAATTAAGAATAAACAAGGACTTCCATAATCTGATGAGAAGAATCAACAAAACATCTACATCAAAGATTATTCTTTTTTAAAAAGAATCCTTTTGGGGAAGCCAGTCAAAAGGATCAAGTCTCTAAGAAAGAAGAACAAATCAGGCTAGCTTCAGACTTCTCTGCACAGCCTTCCACCCCAAGAGGCGATGGAGCAATGCCAACATATTATTCAAGGAAAGAAAGAATGAGCCACGATTTTATATCCAGCGAGTTGTCCTTCAGGTTTGAAAGCTGCAGACAAAGTTTTGAACATATATGATTGTATTGGTTTGCTAGGGCTGCCATAACAAATCCACAGATTTGGTGGCTTAAACAATAGAAATTTATTTTCTCACAGTTCTGGAGGCGAGGAGACGGGAGATCCAGATGCCAGGAGGGTTGGTTTCCCCTGCGTCCTGTCTCTTTGGCTTCCAAATGGCAGTCCTCTTGCTGCGGCTTCACAGCATACTCGTGACCTTGATGCTTCTCTTCCTATTCTATAAATCCTTCATACAAATCCAGTTAGATTGGATTAGGGTCCCATACTAATGGCCTCATTTCAACTTAATCCCCTCTTTAAAAAGGGCCTTATCTCCAAATACATGCTACATTCTGAGATATTAAAGGTTAAGACTTCAACATAAGAATTTCGGGATAACAAAAAGACTTGTAACAACAATCTCAAAGACTGTTGTTCCCATGAATTCTTTTTGAGGAAACTACTAGAAGATGAACTTAAGCCAACCAGGAGATGATTGGGGAAACCACACAAAATTAATGTCAGTGACAAGCGAATATATTTAACTATAGAATTCATACAAAAACAAAGGTGGGAAATAGGGTGACAGAAGCAAATATAAATACTGTATTCCCCAACCAATGAAGAATGACAAAAGTACCAAAAAATTAGACTGGAAGAAAGAAGCAGCACGGTGAGTTTTCTGACTGCCACGTCTGTGATTGCTGGAAGTTAGAGACCATCCCTCAAAAGGGGCAAATGAAATAGATAGGAAAATCCAGAATTAGACCTAAATCAATCCAAAATTAAATACTAGAATTGTGTATATGATAAAGGTAGCATCTCAGTGGGAAACAGATGAATTATTCACTAAATATTATTGGGACAACTTAGTAGCCATCTGGAAAAAAATGAAATTGGAGCCATATCTTTTACTTTACACCAAGTTAAATTTCAAATGGATCAATAATTTAAATGTGAAAAATGAAACTAAAAGCTCTGGGGAAAAAAAACGTGGTAAAATTTCTTGATAAACTTCAAGTAAGGAAGACCTTCCTAACTGCAAATGAAAACCCAGAAGCCATCGAATTAAATTAATAAACTGAACTATGTATGAGTAGAAATCAAAACTCTGTTACACAAGCACCTTAAAATCCAAAGGTGGGCTTTAGAAAACCTAGGGAATGGATCTGTAATTCATATAACAGGCAAGGGACTCCTCTCCCTAATATGTAAAGAGCTTTTTCAAATAGATGAGGTAAAGACCTCCCAGAAAAATTAACAAAATGTAAGAACAGATACTTTACAGAAAAATATAAAATGATGTCAAACATGAAAGGATAGTCACTTCTGCTCATAAGAAGGGAAGTGCAGATTTAAACCACATTTTTCACCTATCAGAAGTTCCAAGAGTTTAATAACAGAGGCTATAAGGAAACAGGGAGGGACATTCATATATTTTTGGTGGGAGATTAAATTGTTATAATCCTGTGGGCGGCAATGTGGTATCTACCAAAATGACAAGTGTGTATCCCCTTGACATAGCATGTCCACACCTGAAAATGAATCCTACAAATACACATGCACAAATGCAAAATTACACCTATACAGGTTATATTTGCAGCATTGTTTATAATAGGAAAAATTGGAGGAGAAAGCGATATTGATTAATAAAGATCTAGTTTAATAACTAATGGTATATCCATACAGTGAAATACTATGCAGTTGATAACAAAACAATGAGGCTTTTCATACAATGATGTCAAAAGATCTCCAAGGTGTATTGTTTAGTAAAAAAACCAAAATGCAGGTGACTGTTACCTCTTATATAAGTAATAACTTACCTCATATTAAAAAAATGGGAGTATAAGTCTGTATTCATATTTGTATAGAGCAGAAAATCCTAGAAGGTTATATGAGAAACTAAAAATAGTGTTCACTTATATATGCTGGAGACAAGGATGGGAGGAAGACTTTTCACTGTATAACTGTATAATTTACAGTTTTTGAAACACGTGAATGATTTACCTGTTCAAAAAGTTAAGTAAATTTAAATTAACAAGAACATGAACATGAAATACAGTTCTGCTGTTTAGTAGTTGAGTGGCTTTGGACAAGACACCTAACCTCTCTGAATCATAGTTTTCTGAAAACTATAAAAAGGCTGAAGTAGTGAAATCGAGCTCGTAAGGTTTTTATTACGGTTGATGAGACGATGAACAGGAAATACATGGCATGGTGCCAGCACCCAGTAAATGCTCAATTAAATGGTCATGAACGCATGTTACTGCCCTTCATCTTGGTAGTAAATTGGTATGTTATTTAAGAGACTTGAGCCTCAGTCGCCCTTTCCCTCGTAGAACCAGACCTCCTGGGTGCTTTCCAGCATGGCAGCCCTCTACTGGAGAGTGAGAGGCCAAGGGAAGAAGGCGATTGACTGCCTGCGGCAAGCCCTGCACTACGCTCCACACCAGATGAAGGTGAGCGGGACTCGGGAGGGGGGATTTCTGTCCCTTGGTCCTTTCCTTTGCCCAGTGGATTATTCTGAAGTTTCAACCTGCCCTCCTCACAGTCGGCCAGTAAGAAAGTGGCAGCACGCTAGGACAGGGCAGAGAACCTGTGACTCTGCTTGTGCCACTGCAGGCCTGAGAGTTGTACCCACTCTCGCACCTTCTGCACCTCAGCCAGCTGGAACACGGGAGAAGAAGGGCTTCAAGATCACTGTAAGAGATTATGTCATTTAATACCCTCCCTCCTACTGTAGTGGGCGCCATCCCACGTAGCAAATACACTGGCCTAGGTCCGCCATCCCGTAGGGGGCGCTCTGGATTCAGCCAGCCCCTGGGCCTGCAGGCCTCTTACGCTTGTTCTGTGTATACTCCTGGTGTAACCTTGCTTCTAGACACAGACACAGGAGCAAATTTCATGTACATTAGCCTGGTCCTGTTCTTTGTCTAACTTCACCTTTAAACACACACAAAAAAACCCAAACCAGGGCCGGCCAAGTGGCTCAGTTGGTTAAGAACTCACTCAAGAGTTTGAACTCTGAGCAACAGGGTCACCGGTTCGATTCCCGGCCTGAGCTGAGCTGCTGCTGAGCTGCCAACAAGTGGCAGGAGGGCTCAGCTCAAAACAAAACAAAAGCAGGCTAGTAATTGTTATAATGACAGAGAATGTACAATTGTTTAACAGGAAACTTGTCACATGTTCTGAGCTCGGCATTCATCTCCAGATCTCATACTTCCTAAAGACACGGCTGATGCCATCTTTGTGCCTAAAGGCAATACATGGAAGAGTGGAGGGGCATCGGCTCTCCATCTACCCTTACTGAGTTCTAAGTGCAGCTCAGCCTCTTACTAGCTTTGTGATCCTAGGCAAGTTATTAAATTTCTATGACCTCATAATGATATGCACTATAACAGGTGTCTAGTTAGGACAAAGATGGGTCCTTTTTTTTTCTGTTTCTTCTGTACTTTCTATAGAACCCAGTACAGTGTGATAGATAGCAGTTGCTCGGGTAACACATTTAAAGGGAATAAATAATTGTGACGATGATTTGCTACATGTCCAACCCATCATTCTATGCCCTGTACAGCCAGGTGATAGGGGAGGGCCAAGACTCTAGACCAGGGGTCAGAGAACAAGATATTAAGGCTCAACAGGCCAGACAGTGTCTGTTAGAACCACTCAGTTCTGCCATGGGAGCATGAAACAGCCACAGAAATATGGAAAGGAATAGGAACGGTTGTATTCCAATAACATGTTACAGAAACAGGCAGCAGACTGGCTTTGGCCTGTGGAGTTAGCACTTCCGATGGTGCAGTGGGTCCCTGCAGAAAATACTTCCGCTCCGTGACAGCACTACTCAGAGCGCTGTCTGTGGGCAGGGGTCAGCTTATTAACTTCATTACCAATCTGAAATGAGGGGAGGATGTAAACCCACAGCCTCCCTCAGCGGGGTTATTTACTCAGCTGACATTTTGGGTTTGTCCGTTTTCTGAGGCAAGACTTGCTCGGTAAAAGGAGTGCTGCATTGGTTTGTATTCTGGTGCGAGCTTCTTATCTGTCACAGACCAGTAGCAAACAGCAGACGAGCAAATCCAAGTTGCACTACCCGACCGTGTACCGGGAAACACCAGCTGCATTGTTTATGATCACAGAAACCAGGAATGAAAGCTCAAAAGCCCGTTTCTCCCCTCTCTCCCGTCTTGCAGGACGTGCCCCTCATTAGCCTGGCCAACATCTTGCACAACGCCAAGCTCTGGAACGACGCCGTCATAGTCGCCACCATGGCAGTGGAGATCGCGCCACACTTTGCCGTGAACCACTTCACGCTGGGCAACGTCTACGTGGCAATGGTGAGGCTGGCATGTGAGCAGAGCATATACCACCTGCCCCTTCCTCTCAGTGGCACATCTTTGATTTCAAAACTTCCTTGACTATGTCAGTGTCCTCCAATTTCCTGTAAGTTCGGTGTCTAAAAAACTGCTAGCTCCACCAAAGGTAAATTTTCCAGATAAGGGGTTTGTGAGTTGTTTAAAATACTACATGAAATTCATCAAAGTATTCACAACTACGTAGTTCCTCACCATGAGCTGAACACTAACAGTAGAGTCAGATTGACTTAGTTTTCTGGAGGCGCCACCTGTTCCAGGAAACCTGACCTAACGTCCCACGTGGGCACACTCGTGCCCTCGTACTTCCGGAGGGGGCCAGGTACCCTTCATGGCGCCCATGATGTCCTGTGCATATTTTTCTTGCTGTATTTTCACCTCATTTTATAATTTTTTGTTTAAGTATTTGTCTCTGTCCCCAAACAAGGAGCTCCTTAGGGAAAACACTGCTCTTCATCTCCCTGTTCCTAGCACTTCACCTGTTTGCCACATAGTAGGTGCTCACCAAATGTTTAATGAATGAGGAAATGCCACTGGTTTCATGGGATATACCATTTACAGAGAACATGACAAACCCGTCATCCAGGACCCTCATTCTGGTCAGAAGTGAGGACTGGTTTCAGAACTTAAAATTCCCGGGGTCCCCCGGCAGCGTCATAGCTGAATTTCACAGGAGAATCGGGTCATCCACTTTCATCTAAAGCTCAGTGTCCCAACGTGGGGCTATTCCCAGGGTTCTCCCAGTAAACGTTCATAGGACGAGCGGCTTCAGGCTGTGAGTTCTGTGTGTCCTCTTTGACGTCAAAGGCAGGAAGTATCACTTGGCCAGGTAGGGAGTGCTGAATGTGTGGATTTCCCTCTCTGCTTCTTAAAATTGAAGAATCTATCTTCATCCCCAGTAAATATGAAATTTTCTACTGTAAATGAGGAATTCTTCCTCTCATTTCGCTAGAAGGAGCCATTTAACCAGTCGGTGTGGGCTCTTCCTTGAGAGTATCAGTCTAAGTAAAAGACGAACGCCTTCCTTGTGGCAGTGATCATTTCCAAACCATGTTTCCTATTTTTAAATGTCAGGGAGAATATAAAACAGTTTCAAAATGTACGCATCTAACTGTGAGATACCTGACTTGAATTCCATCTTTCCAGCTACCGTAGAAAATTCAGGCAGATGCATAATCAGCATGTGCCAGGCACAGTTCTAGAGGTTTCCGTGAGGATTAAATGGAAGCATTTCGTCAAGCCCATAGCCTAGTGCCTAGCACACAGTGCCACTCAGGCAGGGGAGCTCCCACTACCACAGTCACTCCCGTCGCTGGGTCAAACCTCTGAAGTGGACCTGCCCTAGTATTCTTTGTGATGTTGTGGTTGGAGATGGAGGTCGTCTCCTCACAGGCCTCGGAGCTTTCCTTAGTGGTTTAGATCCATCGAGAACATACTGGAGGATTGTCACCAGCACAGAGGTGCTTTTTGAGAGGGGGGAAAAAAAAGCCCCAGTATATATTTCGTCCAGTGGCAGTACACCTCTCACAGTTCTCCCTTTGCCCTCACAGGAAGAGTTTGAAAAGGCACTGGTGTGGTACGAATCGACACTGAAGCTGCAGCCCGAGTTTGTCCCCGCCAAGAACCGGATCCAGACCATCCAGTGTCACTTAATGCTGAAGAAGGGACGAAGGTCTCCTTAGCGCACCCCTCCTTTCTCTCTCTCTCTCTTTTCTCATGCTCCTAAAATGAAAAAAAAAAAAAAAAGAATAAGAAAAGAAACCAATCATTGTCAGTATCTACTTTTAATGATGTGTGTGAAAATAACTGAGTAAGACTTATAACAGGACTTTACATATGTGGGAATTGGTTCGTTTTTGTTTCTAAGCTCCTTCTTTTTCCCCCAGCCAACCTCAGAAACACAAATTTCTTAAAAGGAAAATGCAGCTTAAAGAGATTGTGTAAATACTGAGCCAAGACATTTCCGGAGCTGTGCTCTGTCTTCAAAACCTCAAGGCCTTCAGGGCTCTCCTCAGTGGTCCAGCCAGCCTCCTCCTCCGGGCGGGGAGGAGGCGCACGCACACATTCCCTGCTTCCTGGCGCAGCCAGTGGAGATGCGAAAGCCCACCCAGTGCCCCCCATGAGGGGCCGTGCTCCGCGCCCCCCCATCACATCTCCATGCCCGTCCCAGTCTCGTCCGTTCCATGCTGCTACGTTACACACTCAGAGGTAGTTTGCAGGGGAGGAGGAAGGGGGGAAATGATTTTAAACACAAAATATTTACAACAGCAAAAACTCTTAGGATCACCTGACCTTTGTGATGTTATTTATGTTGGGGAGGGAGGGGGCTGAGAAGGGGAAATCAGCGGTGTACAACATCTGTATCATTTGTACTTTAATTACCAATCACAAGGCAACCAATAAGTTGAACTCCTATATAACAGGTTTATATATATAGAATATGTATATTTGAAGCCCTCTACAGACCACGTCTATGTTTTACTAATTCTTTGTTAGCTGTGTTTCCCATCTTGGAATAAGGTGTGAGTGTCAGCTCCCTCTCCCTGAGGCCTTCCGACTTTGCTCCTCAGGAGAGAGCGTTGAGCCAAGGTTGAGTGTCTCTGTACAATGCCGTTACCTCGGGTCCCAGGAGAATCAGAAACTCCAGACATTTTGGAATTTTCAAGGGCACATACTGAGAACAAAAATAAAAGTTGTTCATGAGCAAAATAGGTCTGTAGTGTGGTTTTTCTTTCAAGGCAGGCTAACGAGCAACTGCAAAGCCTACCTGTATCCCTGATCTTCTCACGTTTTGGGTTTTGTCTATCTTTCCACGACAGTAAGGTGAGGAGAGAAACAATCCATCCCTAGGTTTTCTGGTTGATGAACTTACTAGTGTGATACCTTTGACCAGGAAAGATGCACAACCAGCAGATGTTCTGAGGTGGGTATATAATTGACCTTCCCGGAAAAGGAGCCG